ACACCGCTTAAGACCCAATCGCCTCTTCGGCATGGGCAAAATCAAGGGTAAGGAGAGTGGACTGCGAGTCACTCCCAGAGCCTAAGGAATTGAATCGACGCTTACGAGTTCATCGAATTAGTCATTTCAGGCCAGAAGAAGCAATCTACTCCCTTTGCCGAGTTACTTTCGGCTCGGGAATGGGGGGCAATTGATGAGGACGGATTTGGCCCTCCAATGACATCGTAACACGTGGCATCTCGGAACAACTGGGTGACATCCGAGACCACTTAGGCAACAACTTAGCCAAGATGATGGTGTCCCAACCTGGCGACCTGGCACTGACGCCGACCTGGCGACTAATTTTTATGCCGAACTAGCGACCTAACTAGTAGGACAATAGCTCAGCCTGACACGCCAAGTCCGCAACGGATCGAGCTCGGATAACAAGGCCACCTCGGGACAAGTCTACCTTGGGGTGAGTATACATTGGCGCAAGGTCACATCATGACCACCTCGGTCCCAAGGCACTTCGACATTCATATCAGGTCGGATCTAAAGAGAACGAGCTCAGGCAATGTTGACCGATCACCGCATGGCAACTCCGGAGATCTCGTCACCGTACTCCACGTCTTACGGGATTGTACCTTGTAACGACCAAATATCATCTCCCCACTCCCCCGATTCAGGCGGAAATGGTCAGCCTTACCGGTTGGTAGCGTTATCGCCAACTAACACGGAAATGGATCCTATCACAGCGAGAATTCCGGAACTACTCCACCAAACTTGCAAGGACTCCAGTACATAAAGGCTTCACCCCCCGGGGGTGAGGGGAGGCGTAATCTCTGCTCTCTAGATCTCTCACAATCTAATATCATTTTCAGCTCGCAAACCAAGTGCTAACTTAAGCATCGGAGCGACCCCGCCGGGTAAACAACCCCGGGTTCTCTGATTCATCTCTTGCAGGTTCATCGAGCCCGTCGTTGCCGGTAGCCAGATCATCTCCTGCAGGGAGCAGCCGGACTGCGCTACATCAGCGAGGATTGCTCTCACTTACTTTTAACCTGTCCTTTTTCTGCTGCTATTTGGGGTTGGATCTTTGCTTTGTTCGGTTGCAGATGGAATATACCCACAGCCATAGATCATATCTTTGATTCTACCTTCTTTGTGTGGCCCACAAAAACTGGTAAAACAATGCGGAGGAGCATTAGAGCTGCTGCTCTGTGGACAATTTGGGAAGAAAGAAATGCGAGGATATTCCAAGAAAAGGAGAGAAATGTGCAGAATGTGAAGGATTGTATTTTGACCAGGGCAATCCACTGGCTGAGGTCATCAGATTCCTTCAAATTTTATTCTTTTGATGACATGTGGAGGAACTGGAGGGCTGTGGCTAGTAGCAGTAACAGAAAGATCTGGGTACCAGATGTATGGGTACCCCCTTAAGAAGACTGGACAAAGCTGAATTTTGATTGTAGCAGTCAAGGAAATCCGGGGCCTTCAGGGATTGGTGGGGTGCTGAGAGATAAAGATTGTAGCATATTAGCTTTGTTCTCAGGCTCTGTGGGTATAGGAGACTCTATCAGAGCTGAGCTCCTAGCGGCAGTACAAGGCATTCAGGTTGCGGATCAGTTAGGAGTTCAAAATTTGATTATTGAAGGAGACTCCAAAGTTGTTGTGGGTTGGCTAAAAAATCCAGATTCAGTGATCTGTGCTACAGGGGTATTATGAGGAAAGCTAAATGGTTCTCAAGGAACATGAATGT